CCCCTGCTCATGCTCTGTCTCTCTCTGTCTCTCAAAAATAAATAAAGGTAAGATAAAAAATAATACTTCAAAATTGGAAATCCCCACATTCCTTAAGAGTTGCCCCCAGTGGCTTCACCTTCTCCAATTTTCTAGAAAATTACCCTATGAGAAATTATTCCTCAGTAGAGAATGAAAAAACTACTGTTTATATTGAGAAGTGATTATACACAATTAAGTCTTGAGAAAAAAAAATACTCAGTTCCAAATTCTACCCTCAAAGTATCTGAACAATCTGTTACACTAACACTGCATTTTTTTCCCTTACGTATGCCTGATTTAAAGACTTAGCTAATCATTATTCTAGTTTAAATATTTATTTTCCCTTAATCTATTTCAGGCAAGATAAGAAACAAGAAGATTCTGTCTGATTTTGAACTTCAGGGACAAGCTTCATAATTAGTTATGATGACGACCTAACATGCATTCTTGATTAGAGTTCATATAGGAAGGGCAAAATAATATTTGAGCTCCTGGTTTAACAAGAGAAAGCCAGTTCTTGTGACAGCCAGTTTGACGACGACTATATCCGAAGGATTAATTGCAATCAACTTGTTGGTGCTGAGATATTAATAAAGAATATTTGTGTGTGTGTGTGAAAAAAAAGCTTAAACACCTATTCTCCCCTTATATTAGCCAAGGCAGATGTACCTATGAAGCCAGAAGGCAATAGATATCAGCTAATATATTGACCTGAAATTAATCAAATAAATTTTTGTTCTGTAATCATAATGTAGCTTACTAGAGAAACATGGGTTTGAGAAAACTTCAAAAATAAATCCCAGATCAGTAATTTACAATATGTATGATCTTGGCTAAGTTAGGAACAATTATAACTACCTTGCTGTATATTAAAATAATTAAGTTAATTTAAATAAGAATCATGATCTTGAGCTGGCAATACAAAATTATCACGTGTGAACCAATCTATAAATATTAGCAGATCCTATGTAGTCATGAGATATTCCATATGGAATTTTCTTAAAATGCAATTGTTTGAATTCTATACTATGGGGACATGAGAAGTGAATACAGGTTTTCAGCCAACCTTGGGAAACACAGCACACAATAAAACTCCAAAGGAAAAACCCCAACATGTACAAGTTCTCGTCAGTACTCTCCCAAATTTAAATACTTCTTTCCCTGGCCTCCTCAACCATCTGACCAAAATGTAATTTATTTAAGTTAAAATCAACAAACATTTTCAGAGATCCTGGTCATTACTGATACAAAGGCAGCCTTCAAAGAATCGAAGGTCTAGAGAAGAGTTTAAAAATGAAAATAAAACAATGAAACATTAAGCATGGTATTGATGTAAGAATAGACAGTGAATAGAATAGAGTCTAGATATAGACACATCCATATACTTGATTTATGAAAACAAGGGCACTGAAATGAAATGCTGTAAGAAAAGGGGGAGTCTTTTAGAAGATGGTGGAGGTTCAACTGGAATTTTGGCCCCTACTACACAACACATATGCACACATCAATTTTATATTGATGGTATATTTAAATGCTGAAGGCAAAACAAAAAAGAAAAAAAAGTTTCTAAAGTTACTATGTAGAATACTCATTAATTTGGGGTAAACAAAGATTTCTTAAAATCGGTAAAAGATTTTAAAAGATCAATACACTGGATTAACTTAAACTAAGGAATTTCTATTAATTTAAAGACACCAGTAAAAACATGACAAGATAAGTAGGGATATGGAAGAAGATAGTCAAAATATATCCACTCAACAAAAAGCTAATATAGAGACTACATAAAGAATTCTTTCCATCCTGAAAACAGACATATCAATTAAAAAATCACCAAGAGACACAAATGGTTACTTTACCAAAAAAAAAAAAAAAAAAAAAAAAAAAAAAGAAGGACATTCAGATGGCAAAGAAACATTTAAAAATGTTCTCAAGGGGCGCCTGAGTGGCGCAGTCGGTTAAGTGTCCGACTTCAGCCAGGTCACGATCTCGCACTCCGTGAGTTCGAGCCCCGCATCGGGCTCTGGGCTGATGGCTCAGAGCCTGGAGCCTGTTTCCGATTCTGTGTCTCCCTCTCTCTCTGCCCCTCCCCCGTTCATGCTCTGTCTCTCTCTGTCCCAAAAATAAATAAACGTTGAAAAAAAAATTAAAAAAAAAATGTTCTCAATATGATGAGTCATCAGGGGATTCAAAATAAAACCAACATTTTACATAACTACATACTCATGAGAATAGCTAAATGCAAACATACTGACCATTGCAAGTATTGATGAAGATATAGAGGAACTTAATTCTCATGCTCTGATAGTAGAAATCAGTACTGATACAACTGTAGGGCATCACCATGTTCTGGTGTAGAATAAGGCTGAACAGGTACATCCCATATAATTTATCAATCCCACTCCTAAATATATTATATATATATATATATATATATATATATATATATATATATATATATTATCCATACCTCCATAATGTATGGCAAAAGATAGGTGCAAGAATAAAAAATTATTCTCTACATTATTTCTAATCTAAACTGGAAACAACCCTGCAGAAGGGATCAATAAATTTTGGTGCTTTAGTACCTTGAATATTATACATCAAGAAAAATAAACTGACTACTGGTATATATAAAACAGCATGGAAGAATCTCACAAACACAGTATCTAAGAAATGACACTAGAGATAAGTGGGTACATACTGTATTATAATTTCATTTTAAAGTTCAAGAACAGGCAAAACTCACATATGGGTTAGATGTCAGAATAATGGCTACCTCTGTGGAATAATGATTTGTGCACAAGTTAGTATGTTACATTTCAACTACAATTCCACTTAAATTTATCTTTTTATGTTAATTTATTTTGAGAGAGAGAGAGAGAGAGAATGAACAGCAGAGGGGGCAGAGAAAGAGGGAGAGAGCGAATCCCAAGCAGGCTCCGTTCTGTCGGCGTGGAGCCCGACGCAGGGTTCAATCCCACAAACCGTGAGATCATGACCTGAGCCAAAACCAAAAGTCAGACGCTAAGCCACCTGAGCCACCCAAACACCACCACTTAAAATTATTTTTGAAATAAGCAGTCCAGAAACATCAACAATAGAAGTATGTCCAAGATAAAAGCAGGCTAAGTCAAGGTGTCATTTACTCTTTAGGTTAAGAGGTGAGGAAAGGGTTAGGAAAGACTTCAAAAAAATAAAGGGCACAGGGACACCTGGGTGACTCAGTCAGTTAAGATTCCAAGTCTTGATTTCGGCTCAGGTCATGATCTCATGGTTCATGGGATTGAGCCCCGCATTGTGCTCTGCCCTGACAACAGGGCAGATTCTCTCTCTCCTGTTCTTTCTCTCTCTCTCAAAATAAATAAAGAAACATTTTTAAAAAATAAAAATTAAAGGGTGCAGATGTCACAAACTCAAAATATCTGGGAGAGACAGGCAGGTAAGGCAAAAGAATAAACGAGAATGGATTTTACAATAGCAGCATGAACCTGAATGGGAGGGACCGGCATTCAGCTTTATGTCAGAAGGTCCATAAGGAGGCGTGGGTTCTGACAACCTGAGACATATACCTTCTCTAAAGGAAACAGCTACTAGTTAGTTTCTGGAAAGCATTGTCTTTCCTGCATGCTGACATAGTTTCTAGATATTCTGCTTCTTCAGAAACATTAACGTCATGCCTTGACAGTTTAGTTTTATTGTAATTTGTAAAATATATAACTATACACATTTTGAGTGAGGGAAAATGTATTTTAATACAGATATGCCCCACAGTATATGACTTTGGTGAATATTGAGATAGTTCAGGTTGATCTTGTCCAGGTCTCTATCTCTGTGTCTGCACAGGGCAGTAAGGTATAGTAGGTAGGTAATGAAATTGTTGCTGGATAAATCAACAATTTAATAAATGAAGTTGAACTGTGCTTTTATTTTATTTTTAATGTTTATGTATTTTTGCGAGACAGAGAGAGAGAGACAGACAGACAGACAGACAGAGCACAAGCAGGAGAGGAACAGAGAGGGAGGGAGACACAGAAGCCTAAGCAGGCTCCAGGCTCTGAGATGTCAACACAGAGCCAGAAGCAAGGCTTGAACTCACAAACCGTGAGATCATGACCTGAGCTGGAGGCAGCCACCTAACCGACTGAGCCACCCAGGCTCCCCTGACCTGTGTTTTTAAAAGTGAGTACAAGTTTTCAAAGTAGATTGATCAGAAGTACATCCTGGCTTTGATGACGAGATGTGCAGAAGGGTAGATAATTGTAAAACACAGATGTTCGAAGCCTTACATAGAAGTCAGAATTGCCAGAGCTTGGTGTTGGCAATGTTGAGAAGGGGATGAAGCCAGAGAGATGGGACGGGGAGGAAGGCAATGAGGGAAAACAGATTCATGATCAGGCGTTTGCATTTTTATTATATGATAATAGAGCATAGGAAGCCATCAAAGGCTTAAGGTTCAGTGAAACATGGTTCAGTTTGCAATTAGAAGGGAGATTTGGATGGAAGTACGTTCATTGGGTGAGAGAGATCAGGAAAATGTTCCTGTTGAGAAGTCAAAATAACTTCCACCAAGGGCTTTTTGGGTCTCTTAAGTACATAGGATCAGAGATCTAGAAAGAAGCTTGAGGAATAAACCATCAAGCTATTCCCTCAATGTCAGATAAGAGCATATGGTTGAGTAACCCATGTACTATTCACTTATCGTACAAGCAGTTTTAGTTGGTCATTTCTGTGTTAAAATGAAATTATGAAAGGGGTGCCTGGCTGGCTCAGTTGGTTAAGTGTCCAACTTCAGTTCAGCTCATGATTTCCCGGTTCATGAGTTCGAGCCCCGCATCAGGGTCTCTGCTGCCAGTGCAGATCCTGCTTCAGATCCTGTGTCTCCCTCCCTCCCTGCCCACCCCCCTCAAAAATAAATAAACATTAAAAAAAGTATTAAAAAAAAACCAAAATAATGAAAGACGAACTGAAGAACCAGCTTCTTAATTTTGACTTAATCCAATTTATTTCAACGTGAACCGAATAAATTCTTCCCGCATCTGAATGACATTGAACCACGTTGTACATCAAATAACTTAATGCCAAGGAGAGATGAATAAAAAGATAAAAATATGAAAGGAGGGGCTTGAACTACATCAGGCACAGTAAAGCAAGGAAAGGCACTATTAGGAAAGAACCCAAAGTCCCCAGAGTTTGCATTTTTGTCCTGGATCCTTAGCATATGATTATTAAGTGGAACAAGGAAGCTACTGGCCTCCCAGCGCAGAGCAGGATGGACGGCAGGTGCTGTACACGTGGGTCAGAGGTTGGCACCCACCGAGGAGAGGACGCAGAGGTCTGAGGCCACTTGGCACAACGTGAAGCGATTGAGGATTGCAGGGCAAACAGCTCAAGGGGCGGCATCCGTAAGTAGGGAGGCTGAGGGGTCGGCAGCTGCTGGACACATAGCTCAGAGGCCTGTAGGAGATGGGGACACAGGAGCCAGAGACGTAAGAACCGGCAGGAAGAAAAGTGGTTCCTTGGCAGGGTCTGGACACGTAGTAAGTAGTAGAAGGGCAGCAAGAAGTTTCGAAGTTGCTGGGCTCGTGGGGGGCTGGCTGGCTGCTGGTTGGTTCATTGCAGGCCTCTTGGCAGTTGTCCAGAGGCCGGAGATGGCCTTGACAGTTACTGGGCAAGCAGAGGACATCGCCACAGCTCACGCCCGTGGAACAGAGGGTGATGGAGGACGTGAGCGGAAGATGGCAGGGATTGCTGAGGGATCCCAAGCTGTAGTTGGTGGAGCAGTTGTGACAAGACATCGTGAGGTTCCGAAGGTGGGTTGTGGTTGAATGGAGAGATGCGAGTGTCTTCGGGTTTCACTGTGTCCCTCACTTGGTTCCACCCTTATATATCCCTAGAAGGTGGCGATTGTGTACACAGACTCTCTTCCTCCCCCTTGTAGGAAGCTGCATCAGAACTCTTCATTATAGTCCAGGAAGTGGTGTCCCCAGCGCCCATAAAGCTGGACGTTCTATCCATTGATTAAGGAGATCTAGAAAGAAGTGCGACTGAATTTTAAGAGGATCGCTCCTTCTTAAATTACCCAATGAAAACAGATGCGTTTGAAGGTCATTCGCGTAATCCAATTACAACCACCACTACACAAACATTCGTACAATTCCTCCCTTGGAATTGCCTTTCAGACTTGAAAAGTTGTAGCAACATCCTCTGGAACAGCAGCAAATGATCTCTCTTTGAGGGGCAATTCTATTCTTTTTGCAAATGGTCAGTAGTAAGAAACGTGAAAGCAAGTATGTGGCAAAAGAATGTGAAAAATTCTATAACCTATATGATTCGGAGCAGAAAAAGTGTAAATGTGGTATAATACGGAAAATTTCAACGTGCCTAAATTGGTGTTTTGCTTTATTTTAGAATCCTGGTAGAAAATGGCTTCCCATCAAAATATTTTTATTTGAAATAGCCATACTCATTTTATTCATTTTAATAAACAGAGTACTGCTAAAACTGCTAAAATTTAGTTAATGTTTTAAGTTTTTTTTTTTTATTTTTTTTTCAACATTTATTTATTTTTGGGACAGAGAGAGACAGAGCATGAACGGGGGAGGGGCAGAGAGAGAGGGAGACACAGAATCGGAAACAGGCTCCAGGCTCTGAGCCATCAGCCCAGAGCGTGATGCGGGGCTCGAACTCAGGGACCGCGAGATCGTGACCTGGCTGAAGTCGGACGCTTAACCGACTGCGCCACCCAGGCGCCCCGTAAAGTATTCTTAATATAGATAAATAAAATGGGCTCAGTTAAAAATATGAATAGTACTGTGAACAAAAGCAAATAAAGGAAACAAATCCATCAAAGAAAGCAGAACAACATGATATTTTTAATACTTAGTATAGCTTTACATATTTCATGCTTACGTTCCAATTGAAAACTAATGTTCTTAGTAAAAAACAAACAAAAAATAAATAAAACAAAACAAAACAAAAACAAAAACAATAGAAATAATGACTTAGACCTGGACATAGGTTTAGTTTTGCTTCTTACATTGATTCTGATGTCCATTTCCACAAAACAGCTTCTAAACTATTTCACACAGGAAATAGTGTCAGAATAAATGTACAGTTTTTCTAAACATTAGTACTTTTTTTTGAAGTTTTATTTATTTATTTTAACAGAAAGCATGAGCAGGGGAGAGGAAGAGAGAGAAGGAGAGAGAGAATCCCAAGCAGACTCTGTGCTGTCAGCATAGAGCCCGATGCGGGGCTCAAACTCACGAACCATGAGATCATGACCTGAACTGAAACCAAGAGTAGGATGCTTAAGCGACTGAGCCACCCAGGTGGCTAAGTAGCATTAGTACTTCGAGGGCTATTTGGAGATCTATTTTCCGTCAAAAAATTGGTTTAAGGATGCTCAATTGTGTTTAACCCCATCCATTCCATGGTATTTTTATATACCAACATATCCAGTGGCTCCGTGGCCATTTTTTTTTTACTTTTTTTTTCAATATATGAAATTTATTGTCAAATTGGTTTCCATACAACACCCAGTGCTCATCCCAAAAGGTGCCCTCCTCAATACCCATCACCCAACCTCCCCTCCCTCCCACCCCCCATCAACCCTCAGTTTGTTCTCAGTTTTTAACAGTCTCTTATGCTTTGGCTCTCTCCCACTCTAACCTCTTTTTTTTTTTTCCTTCCCCTCCCCCATGGGTTCCTGTTAAGTTTCTCAGGATCCACATAAGAATGAAACCATATGGTATCTGTCTTTCTCTGTATGGCTTATTTCACTTAGCATCACACTCTCCAGTGGCCATTTTAATGGGAATTTGAATTATCTTGCTGGATCTACCTTCCAATTCCCTTTAGCTAAAAATGTAGTGTAAATCACAACAAATTCTTCTATTTTAATGTTCAAGGGATACGCCCACACTTAATAAGTCTCCCTCTGTTCAGGAGGAGTCAAATCTCTGGAACAGAAGACTGGTTTCTCTATGAGCCAATACAGGACTATTTTACTACCAGGGATAGAAATACAAAAAGAAAATGATATGGTCTCTGAGGTTCTGTACTAACATGTTAAAATTATCCCAGTATTTTAGGCCAGAGAACACCCTTTGATGATTTGTACCTGATGAGTTTGAGGAGTCCCTTCAACCCCAATCTCCACCCCTCCAGCTTTCATCACCTGATACTCTGTGTACACATTGCTAGAGTCTTCTTGTGAAATACCGGAAACATCAGCTGAATGGCGTTAGTAATAGGTACAGCCACCATATTTAACTGAACGCTTATCACATTTATACGCTGATGTTCTTTATGCCTGTTCTTCTCTAATGTAAGCAAAAGTCCAACCCCTGTATCATTAGTACATCAGTATATTTGTGTTTAAGCATATATATGCATTGTTTAGGTAGTATGTATACATGAATGTTCTTCCATGAAGAGAAAGGGTGTGGAATGAGAAGAAGCTAGGATTCATTTAGTGTCTACACCAGGCAAACCTTGTAATGTGGATACCAACACGTGTCAGCTCACTTTATCTTCACAACCCTTTCCGGTCAATTTTACTATGTCAAGTATTCATGTGAGAAAACTTGAAACATAGAAAGTTACAGTAACTGATTTGAAAAGCATTTGAACAAAGTGGGTTCAAACATTTGAACATTTGTTTGGGGGTCCTCAACCCCTAAAATGTTTTTTCTCCCATTATCCAATATGGCACTATATAGAAATATATTTACAGCATCATTTACTAATCATGTTCAATTAGCATAATTGCTCTGCTCCCCAATTGCTATCAGTATCATTTTATGGAATTATTGGAATATTAATGATAACCTATTTTTCTGTGTCATTATTAGGTTGCATTGAGATGTAAGAAAAACTTAAAGACACTATAATAGAATAATTTATATTTTTGCTGTGGCCTTCTTAACCCATTCCAGAGAGTTCTACCTTGAGTCTAACTTGTTTAGAGTACTTCTACAGACTCTCATTTTTTCCGTTATGGGTAGGCAATCCTGCAAAAATATTCATAACATCTTAGAAAATAGAATGCTCTGAATGCAAGTTGTAACTTAGCACAGTAAATGTTGAACTGACGTTATTTGGTAGTGACTGTGCCACAGAAAAGGAAGAGCTCAGGCGGGCATAGGAGCAGAGACCTCACTAGCAGCCTCTGGAATTATAAACACGTTTCACACTCTCCTGATGAGGAAGTCCAGACGTAGACTGAGGACCCAGGCAACCTGTGTGCTCCTCCAGATTTACCCACATTGTTGCTTTTGCTTCAATGAACCAGGGGTCCAGACCTTTCTTACTCTATAGGAACAACCCTGAATCTCTCTCTCTCTCTCTCTCTCTCTCTCTCTCTCTGTCTCTCTTCAGACACAAAGTATCCTCAGAGCATTGCAACAATGCAGTTAAGGCAGTAAATGACATATTTTGCATTCCTTTATTCAACCAATATGTATTGAGTACTTTGCATGTGCAAAACATTATGATGGATGCTGGCAATGATACCAAAATACTACCGATTTTTGCTCCCAGACACATCCAGTCTGGTAGATGTGATAAGACAGGCACCCCATCCATTCAGTGTTTACTAAGTTCTATAAAATGGTGTAGAGAGAAGAGCAAACATTGCTCATTGGCTTTACCTAGAGTTTGCATTTGATGTTAATTTTGAAGGATGGGAAGCGATGTCAAGGGGCCTTGGGAAGGGGGAAGACACTTCAGGCTGTGGACTGCTTGAAGACAGAAAAAGTAGCAACAGGTTGCTTTCAGTAGAGGATTCTTAGAAGCAAACTGTAGCAACTAAACTTACATTCACATGCTGAATTTAATTTAATCATCAAAGAAGCAGTTAAGAGTTTGTTCTACAGGCACGGTGCCCTCGTAACTGATTTTGAGAAGAGGGTGCTGTGATTAAATCGTAGCCCATATTGGAAAGAGGGAAAATCTATTGTAATGCTTTTCTCCCTTGTTCCACTAAAATTATGTCTTTTCATCTATTTCCCTTCCCGTTATCACTTCTGTCACTCAAGTTGGGCCTTGTTCCCCTTTGGTGAGTACATACATTTCTTACCGCCATCTTGACTCTTAATCACTGTTGACTTCTCTTTAGCATGAATACTATATTCAGATTAATACTCCCCAAATCAATTTCATCATATGACTCTCTTACTGAAAACATTGGTGACTTCTTTTTGAACACAGAGAATTGTCCGAACACTTGATTAGCCCTCCTCTGCTTCCCAGTGGGGATTTTCTTCTGTATTTTAGGGTTGTCCATGTTATTCTATATCCTCCTTCCTTTCACATCACCTCTTCATCCATCCTTTCTTCCCCTTTGGAATAATTCTTTAATGTTATCAATCATTCGTACCTCAATTAAATTAGCCCCTTCTTTGTAAATATTTTCCTACCAACATAAATCTCCCTGGCCTTAAATCTGTGCGACTATCATTACCTAATTCACATGCGTGCATTAGCGCACACACACACACACACACACACGCACATACACGGACACACAAATTCTTTTGCGTTGTAAGCAAACATTCTTTCTGTATGTGCTGTAATGTCTTATATTTTGACTACATTACAGAACCCTTATTAGCTACTATTTACTGAGTCCTTATTCTAGATGAGACACTATTCTATGTGTTTTATATGTATTTACTGATTTAATCATCACAAAATCTGTATTCAAGTAGGAGTGATCATATACATGTGAGGAAACAGTCGATCCGTAATAAATGTTTGCTGACTAACATGAAAGCATTCACAAAATATAACTTAGGTTTTCTTCATCAAATAAAAGTTGACCTTTACTTAGTCAAGTCAATAATCTCTTTTATATACTTTTCTCATCATCTG